ATCCCCCCACCAAAACCAAAATTTTATTGCAGATTCGGGGTCCTCTCGCCGAGCGCAGAACGACCCCAGTTTGAAAAAAAAAAAAAAAAAATTATGGGCTGTTTTTTGTCCTGCCCGGTTTACCCGGGCGGACCCCGCGGGCCAAACCGGCTGGGCCCGGCCCGGCCGGGCAGCGTCCTCACTCAGATTTTATTTTATTTTCTTTGATTTCCTGCTCTTCGGTTTCTGACTGTAGGCGCCCGTTTTCAAATCCCTCCTTCGGCACTTTCGGATTTCGACACTTGGCGCCATCCAGCATTCTGGCACCCAGACTCAGACCTGCGACCCTCAGTTCAGTCCTGAGGCAGGCTGCACCTCGGCCCTCCGGACTGAGCCTGAGTCTGGTACTTTAGACCGGACTTGAGCCCCGTTGGGGCATTCAATCCTCGGCCTCCGTGCTTGTGCTTCAGTGTGACTTGCCGCGACTCTGTGTTCGGAATCCAAGATTGCAACTTTGCGACTTTGGGACTTTGCCACGTCGTGTCTGCGTCCGTCGTGTCGAGTCGAGTCCGTGTCTGAGTCGAGTGAGTGTGTGTGTGTGCTCTCACTCTCTCTCTCTCTCTCTCTTCTCTCTCTCCCTCAGCCTCGCCACTCTGTCTCTGCCTCGTCACAAGAAGAGGGAACTCAGTTACATACCGGATTGAGGCTGTTGGCTGTCGCACTGATGAGCGCTGGATAACTCAAACTCTGAATTTGTACATTGTGATCAGTCATTGAAGTTCCGCACTAATCTGGTGTTCCATCTTCGGACTTCAGTGTGAACCTTCGGGCGAACTCTCATTGTGCATGTGCTGGTGTGTGAATCTGAGTGGTTCATAGCACACATGTGTATTGACCACCGCAGCCTGAACAAGGTCACAATCGAGAACGTGGAGTCTTCGTGCTGGATCGAGTGCAAGGTTGTCGAGCAAACTCAAGACTGACTTTTTGTTCCCAGCTTTCACCTCTCGTTTTGAGCGAGGTTCCCGTAAAGTGTGATTCAATCTCATTCAAGCGTGAAAGTGTGATGAATGTTGAATTATGTGAAATTCTTGTAAGTTTCAAAGAGGTGCAAGAAACCGCAAGAAGTGAACTTACTTGGCAACTCGGAAGAACTCTTTTCCTTCAACCCTTAAGGTCTTTAAATGTTGTGAGGGATTGTTGGAGTAAAATGACCCTGCACGCCATTATCAGTCCAGCCAAGAAACATGCATAGTAAATATCAGCTAGAAACCAAAGGTCAGTGTCATAAATGGTACAAGTGCCTGCACAAGCGTACATTGAGTGGTTAGGATCGAGCTGTCCTACTTGTGTGGTTAGATGTCCTGTTCTTTGTTTTGTTTATTATTCATGGCCTAATTCTTTACCCTGCTTTAGAGCATGGGCTCTCTTTGATGAAGGAATGTCTGTGGGTGGCCACGTGTTCCTTTTGGCCACGGTTGTGAGGAGGCTCAAAGAGTGTTTGCTGTGGGTGTCATCCCCACAGGCTGCTCTTTTGGAGCACATGGAAGAAATGGGGCCTTCTCCTGATGGTCCGTGGAAACCTTGTGGAGTTTGGGATTATGGCACTCTTGCAAGGAACATGAATGTGGACGAAGCACAGAAATCCAGATTGCAAAATCACACTGAAGTCCAAGTAGTCAAAGCAAGAGCAGATAGCACAATGGAACCG